AATCACAAGACCTTTTGCCAAGGAGAACCTTTATTTTATTTTATTTTTTAAATTCAGTGTCTCACTCTGTTGCCCAGGTTGGAGTACGGTGGCAGGATCATGGTTCACCACAGGCTTGACCTGGGCTCAGGCAATCCTCCTGCCTCTACCTCCTGGGTAACTGGAACTACAGGTGTGCACCACCGTGCCAGGCTAGTTGTTTGATTTCTTTGTAGAGACGAGGTCTCACTAAGTTGCCCAGTCTGGTCTCGAACCCCTGGGCTCAGGTAATCCTCCTGTCTCTGCCTCCCAAAGTACTGGGATTATAGATGTGAACCACTGCACCCAGCGAGAACCTTATTTTGTATGACAGATTGCAATCTGCAGGCTGGGAAGCAGAACCTACAGCTGAGATAGAAAGGCGGCACTTGGAGGAAAGAAGGCTGGAAGTTTTATGCTAAATGTGTTGGCTAAACATACATGTTTAACATCAAAGGAGGCACTATGACTTACTCATGAGTTATACATGTGTGACAAGCAAACATACATGTTACACACATCCCATGTTCACTTTGGGGTTGAGACTTAACATTAAAATGCAGTAAAATTAGGCTCTCTATACATCAAAAGGTGAGACATAGGACACAAAAGACCTTTGAGTGCCATCTCTGTAAACTGGCCAGAACCAGTCTGTGGTTGACCATCATTTATCAGGAAGGAATGCTTTATAAGCTAGTCAGCTGCCATGTTTAAATCTCACAAAAGGAGAGGAGGCTGGCCATGTTGTCAGGCAATTGGTTGAAGTTGAAATCAGCAGAGTAATCTTCCATTCTTTGTTTTCCTTTTTTTTTTTTTTTTGAGTTGGAGTCTCACTCTCTCGCCCAGACTGGAGTGCAGTGACCACTCCTGGCCACTGCAGCCTTGACCTGTTGGGCTCTGGTAATCCTTCTGCCTCAGCCTTCCAAGTAGTTGGAACTACAGGCACGCGCTACCACCCCCAGCTAATTTTTGATTTATTGTAGAGATGAGGTCTCACCAAGTTGCCCAGGTGGGTCTTGAACCTACAGGGTCAGGCAATTCACTCACCTCAGCCTCCCAAAGCACAGGATTACAGGCTGAGCCACCGAGCCTGGCCCAGAGCTGGTTTCTATTTAACTTTTAGGAAAATGTCTGGTAAAGGTTAGTGAGGAAGGGGTGTACTGGGGTGTGACTGACTGCCCATCTCATCATGGCCAGGAAACAAAGTTGTTCTGGGGTCTCCTTGGCTAAGAGTGGTCTGTTCAGTTGATTGAGGAGTTTAGGATTTTATTTTAGTTTGCAGAGGGTTAAGTCCTCTGAAAACCTCGGCAATCAGAGGGCCCCTAGAATCCTCAGACTTCCCTCCTTATTTATAAGTCCAGAGCAGCTTGCTGATTGGAGAAGGGCTGACCAGGTGTCTACAGAGACCTGTGGGAACGATGCCTCTAGATGGAGCTCCTGCCCTTTCATCCTCTTCCCCTGGCCTGGGGGCTGATCACTAACTGGCCTTTATGGCCCCTTCACTGTAGGAGTGATATTCATCCCCAAAGTCAGGTCCTCCTTGGACCCTGAGAGCTTCAGAATAGCAACCAGCCAAGGGAAGGTTGAGTTGTAGGTTGAGTTCAGTTCCCCAGGTTGAGTCCAGTTCCTCAGGTTGAGTCCCCACCACTTGTTGAGCCTCAGGGGCCTGCTTTGAATGATGGGAAGATGATCCCATTTGGAACTTGGGTGCTGGGGCCGTTTAGCCAGCAGGGAGGGATAGAATCAGGCAGCCATCTTGGAGCCAGTCCAGAGAGTATCTGCTTGGACTGCAAGCTTAATATCAGCAAGGTTAATCATTCTCATTCCTTCCAGCCCCTACCTGAAGGCTGCCTTGTGACCAGACACAGATAACAGGAAGGTGTTTGACCCACAGGGGCGGAGATTCTGGGCTTCACGGAGGTGGGGTGGCTCAAAGAGGAAGAGGAGAGAACCCTGAGCTTTTCCTGAGTGGCAGTCCATCACACATACAATCTCTCATCACCCATCCTCCCAGCTGCAGAAACTACAGCTTTTAGTCTGACTCCGCCCTGCCCTGACTTCTTTTCTTTTCTTTTCTTTTTTTTTTTGAGTTGGAGTCTCACTCTGTCGCCCAGACTGGAGTGCAGTGGCCGCTCCCGGCCACCGCAGCCTCGACCTGCTGGGCTCCGGTGATCCTTCCGCTCAGCCTTCCGAGTAGCTAGAACTACAGGCGCACACTACCACGCCCAGCTAATTTTTTGATTTATTGTGGAGATGAGGTCTCCCCTGCCCAGGCGGGTCTCAAACCCGCGGGCTCAGGTAATCCACTCACCTCAGCCTCCCAAAGGTGCAGGATTACAGGCTGAGCCACCGAGCCCAGCTTGACTTCTTTTCATACAGCAGCTACAGGAGAGAAAATCTGTAAGAGGCCCTCGGGATAGCATCCAAGGGAATGTAGATCTGGTGTTTCTTCTTTGGGCTTATCTCCTGCACACACACCTTCCTAACTTCTGTCTCAGCCACCTTGGAATCCTGCTAATGCTTCTATTACCTTTTGCTAAGACCTTTCCACAGAATGCCTTTCCCCCTGCTGTTTTGTGTTGACAAATATTACACCTCTGGAAGCCTTTCCCGACTTCCTTGGGCTTCCACAGAGCAACACCATGCTCTGTGCTTCCCTCTGAAAACCTTACCTCATTGATCTAAGAGTTATTGGTTCTCAGATCTGTCTGTCCCCACCAGACCTTGCAAGGGACTCAGTTCCCTTCCTGTCTGAGACCAGCATGGGCCAGTGAACTGGCTGCTCAGAAAGCATTTGTTGAGTGCACGATGAGTACATGGATTCCCTAACTTACGTAGCACTTCCTCTGTGCCAGGCCCTGGGAGTCTGGCACAAAATGACATAGACACAGCCCGGCTTGCAGGAGTGCACGTTTTGTTTGGGACAAGGCAGACCAAAAAACACAATAGACAGAAATCTGTAAAAGGGGACAGAGTGATGTCATGAGAAAGCACATGGAGGGTTATTTTTAGGTTTAGCTAGGTTAGAAGTCGTTGTGGGAGGGGGTGGGGAATTGTGGGTTGTGATTTAAGTGGCCACAAGGGGCCACCAGCCTGGAGAGGATGAATGAAGAACATTCCCGGCATAGAAGGAGTTGCTGAAGCACAGGCCTCAACGTGGCAAGTGTGCCTGGGGCTCATTCGTGGGGGTGGCAGGGGGGTGATTTGATATGGGGTCTCGAACAAGGGGCAGGGCCTTCGATGTCATTGAAGAAATTTGGTTTTTACAACAGATTCCATGAGAAAGCAGTGAAGGGTTAATGAGGGGGCTGTCAGATAGTAAGACGTTTTTAGGTTTTGTTTTCTCTTTTTAAAAAACGTCCACCATCTCAAACCAAGTGAAGTGGGGACCAAAGTGAAGTCCAGACTTTGCCTGCACGATGACCATTTGTATGTCTAACCCTGAATTGTACCCTATATCTTTAAAATAATAAAGTCAAATTAGCTGGGCGTGGTGGCAAGTGCCTGTAATTCCAGCTACTTGGAAGACTGAGGCAGAAGGATCACCTGAGTCCAGCAGGTCAAGGCTGCGGTGGTCATTGAGTATACTACTGCACTCCAACCTGGGTGACAGAGTGAGACTCCAACTCAAAAAAAAAAAAAAAAAAAAAGGCACCCGGCAAATGAAAACTACAAGATTCCCTTTGCCCTACCTATCAGATGAGCACAAAACCAAAGTTTGATACTATACTGTGTTGACAAGACCATAGAGAAACAAGTCCTCTCATACTTTGCTGCTGAGGGACAACATTGATAAAACCCCATAAAATTGTAACCATCTGGTGGCCCATGCCTGTAGTTCCAGCTACTTGGAAGACTGAGGTGGAAGGATCACCTGAGCCCAGCAGGTTGAGGCTGTGGTGGCTGTGAGCGTTTCACTGCACTCCAGCCTGGGCGACACAGTGAGACATGAGGCTCCAACTCAAAAAAAAAAAAAAGATTGCTCATTGCGTTATTTGTCATTTTTTGGAAAGAGAAACGAGGCATGTATTCATCATTGGGATCCCCAGTCAACACCTCCGCCACAGCCCACAGCTAGTGAGGGAGAAGGAAAGATACTCTCTTCCCCACCAGAAGCCCATAACTCTTTTGCTGTCTCTGCCTATCTTCCCTCCACCAGTGCCCTTGTCCCTTTGCAGCATGAGTCTGATGAGCCTGGTGTGATAAACCCAGTACCAGGGTAAGAGTCTCAGATGAAGGGATCAGATGCCCAGATTCTTTTTTTTTTTTTTTAATCAGAGTCTCACTCTGTCACCCAGGCTGGAGTGCCGTGGCACGCTTACGGTCACCCCAGCCTCAATCTGCTGGCCTCAGGTGATCCTTCTAAGTAGCTGGAACCACAGGTATGCACCACCACGCCTGGCTAATTTTTTTTTTTAATTGTGGAGATGAAGTCTCACCAAGTTGCCCAGGCTGGTCTCGAACTCCTGGGATTTAGGCAATCCTCTTGCCTTGGCCTCCCAAAGGTCTGGGATTAGGGATTACAGGCATGAGCCACTCTGCACCAGGCTCAGATGCCTGGATTCTTCTTCCTTTTTTTTTTTTTTTGAGATGAAGTCTCAGGCTGGAGTGTAGTGGAACAGCCTCAATCTACTGGGCTCAGGTGATCCCTCCACCTCAGCCTTCCAAGTAGCTGGACTATAGGAACTATAGTCATGCACCACCACATCCAGCTAATTTTTTGATTTATTGTAGAGAAGAGGTCTCACCAAGTTGCCCAGGATGGTCTTGAACCCATGGGCTCAGGTAATCCTCTTACCTCAGCCTCCCAAAATGCTGGGATTATAGCCAGATGCCTGGATTCTAACTTAACTTCCACCCCCCCCCCACTTGCCAGTGAACATCAGGCTAGTTCTAGCCCCATTTGGGGCCTCTCAGGAATGAGAAAGCAATGTATCCCCTAACCCACTCATCCCCCCCAAAAGGATTTATAAAACACAAGATACAAGTGAATCTGTCTATTAGAACAGACTGTTGGAGGAACCCCAGGAAACACTTCTTTGATCAGGAACCAGTGCCCAGTGCCCCAGTCCCGTGAAGTGTGGCGCCAGCACCCATGGCCGCAGCATAGAACTTCACCACCTCCTCGTTGGGATTGCCCTGGGCTGAGTCAAACCACAACTGGATGCAGCGGCCACTCCCTCGGCTGTAGTTGCTGACCTTGTAGGAGTGACTCCAGAGATCCTCACAAAGGGCAGCTGGGGTGGGGAAGTAGGACTCAAACGTACGGCAGGTGGTCCCAGTTGGGCACTGGTTAATCCCTGAGAGAGAACACGTATTGTTAGCTTCTGGGCTGGGCAGCACCTCTCCCAACCCCGAATCCCCACTCCCATCCCCCGTCTCTTCAACCCCATCCCTCACCTGAGGTCCAGTTCCAGCCTTTTTGCCAGTTGCTCTTGCAGGTGTAGGAGGTGCGACAATCCTCCCACCAGCGCTCACAGTCTTCCTTGCACAGGGGCACGTTCAGGATCCGCTCTTTGCGCCAGCTTTGGTTTACCTGGGTTGGGAGGGGAGGCTCCTGTCCGTCAGGTGGTCAGCTGCCTCAGCAGGTACAGCCTTGAAGGTGCCTCCACCATCCCAGACCAGAATTCCTGGACCAAGCACTCCCTGAAGGTGGCTGACAAGCTCTGCCCTCTACTGAGGTTCATGCTTGTGGGGACAGCACTCGCACCTGCCGGATCCAGGGCCCCAGGTTGGGTGAGCACTCGTAGAGGCAGTTGTCCTGGATGAAGTGACGCTTGCAGGCGGGCTCCATCGTGCCGCAGTGTTCCCAGTTAAAGTTATACAGGCGGGAGGTGTCCTTGTGCAGCTCCTGGCTGGTGTCGACGGTGCAGCAGGCGTTCTTCCTCCAGGGACTGCACTGGGTGGGGAAGGCACAGGACTAAATCCCTCCCCCACCACAGCTGTCTGCTCTGTATTCTGGCTCCTCTGCCCCAGGTGGGTCATCCAGAGGAGCACTCACTGTGGAGGACCATTGAGGGTACGGAGGCAATTGGATACTGGCTTGGGGATGTGGGAGACCAGTGGAGCTACAGTCTGGGAGAGTAATTATTTGCACAGGGTGTTTGTTTGTTTGTTCGTTCATTTGAGATGAGCTTTCCCTGTGTTGCCCAGGCTGGTCTCAAACTCTTGGTCTCAAGCAATCCTCCTGCCTCGGCCTCCCAAAACACTAAGATTATAGGTGTGAGCCATGCACCCAGCCTATATAATACTTAACAGTTTACAAAGTTATTTCAGCCAGGCTCGGTGGCTCAGCCTGTAATCCCAGCACTTTGGGAGGCTGAGGTGAGT